TATTTGAGAAGATTTTCTTTAAACCTCTTACTGTGGCATCTTTCTCTGAGACGCCTCCAATTTTTGTTATATACTGAAACTGAAAAAAAATACAATTTAATATTATTTTTGTTTATTGATTTGTTTTTAAAACAAAGAACAACTATTCTTTATGTAGTTATGTAAATGATATTTGGTACAAATAATAATTTGTTTGATTTTATTTATTCAAGCTTGACTAGTCAAATGCACCCTGCAACCTTAAGAGATATAAAAATAATGAAAAATATGGAATTTGCATAAAATTAATTGTCACAACAATTATAATAAAAAAGTGTATCCATCTTGGTTATTTAGCAAAATTATTGTATCTTTTAAGTACCAGTTGGAGAAACAGTATAAAGTTAAAAAAAATATAGAAATTAAACTCTTATTTTGGCTACCAATTATAATTTGTCGCTTGTTTTTTAGCACCCTGTTTTAAAAACAAATTATCATTATTAAACAGGTTTAAAATCGCCCTTTATATACTTACAAATTCAGCCTCTACTTCTTTTTGCAATAATGTTTTCTCAAAACTTTTAACAGATCATTAATAAAAAGTTGACTAGGTATCTATTACACAAATCTTGCAAATCTTCCACAAAAGTATGGGAATTTTTCCTATGACCTCCTGAATATTCTCCCAAATTTTCTGTAAAAATATTTTTATTATATGTTTATTTATTGGCTGGTTAGGGAAAGATAATACTTCGGTTTTAGCCTCAGTATATTCCACATTGTCTTGGGTATTTTCTATACAATTTCTTACCTCCACGCCCATTATTTTGAAATCTGCATTAATTCTCCTCCGCTTTTGCCTCCGGGATGGGGAAATATATTTTTTTCCATTTTTGTCTTCCATTTTATTATAAAAAAATGGAATCAAACTTAACTTAACTTAAAACACAATAGAGAGCACTCGACACAACCGTTTAAACGAGTTCGTTAGTAAGATAAAAAGGCTATATAAATACTATAAAACATTAATATATAACATTTATATATCATTGTTACAATATGTAGGTATAAAACATTGTTATATAGCCATGACATAATAGGGATGTAAATATAACAAGAAGGGATCATTTTGATATAACTATTATATTAAAATTTTTTATTATAATTATGTAACAAAATAAAGAAAAACTATGTAAATACCATATAATAAGGTTATATGGATACTATAAAACATTGCCATATATCAATAATGTATCATTGTTCCATTGTAGATATATAACATTGTTATATGGCTGATACATAAGGGGGATGTAAATATAAGAAGAGGGGAACATATTTATATAAATGTTATATTACTATGTTTTATCATAATTATGTAACAAAATAAATAACTAATATGTAAATGTTATGTAAACAATTTTATATGGCAATGTTCTTTGTTAGTTATATCATGGTTATGTAAATGGAACAGCCTGGTTTGCTGGGACTAATCGTAGAAAAAAAAGTTAATTAGCAATTTTGAAGAAGAATTTAAAATATTTTGTATATATTTTTTACAATTCTACATGCATTATAATTTTGGTATGTTTACAAATTTTCAAGGCCATATTTTTATTTATACGACTAATGGTAGCGTATATTTATATCAGTAACTAATTATATGGATTTTGTTTGACGTCATCCTATAAAAAGCATTTAACCTAATAACGCATTACTTGTTTATTTATTTTCGTTATATTATATTAATAATTTAATTAAAATAAATCTATAAGAAAAAAACTATTAAAATATCTATTCCAATTCCTATGACCGTATGCACTTAACTTTTTAGTCAATTTTTAGATATACATATTAAGGCAAAGCTTTATGTCCGGAGCTTAAACTCTCTTAAAGTTATTTCATACACAAACCCTTTCTTTGTCTCCACCCTGCCAAAAATTGACAATCAAATCCAATTTAAACAAATTAGTTTTTGAATTGTTTTAATTAGAGTCTAATGTTAAATATTAGTTTCTATTGGTTACTGGCAAACTTTATTAAACAGTTCAATATAGTATCAATGTGTCTCAATGAGCTGAATAAGTTTGAATATGTTTATATTAGTTTGTAAAATCATATTTTCTATTTGTATAAATACGATTGAACTGTGTTTTATTTAGATTTTAGATTATTTATTAATAAGGTTCAATTGTATTTTATACAGTTAGATTAAGTACCTAATTGGTGTGAACTGTTGTTCTGACCCTATGTGTTTAATTTGTTGAACTTAAACGATTTGGATGGCTGTTGCGCTTGGCCAGCAGTGAAAGTATAGCAACCTGGGGGCGGTAAAACATCGGGGGCGGCGGCGAAAAAACATTGTCAAAAAAGAAAAATAGACAAATTTTGCAAAATGGTTATTTTTTGTAATTTTCGATTTTTGCAAAAAGGTTAATTTGTGGGTTATAAAATAACCTTAAATTAACCTTTAACAGCCCTGATAGAATAAGGTTTATTTTTTACAAAAAAGGAGTAAAATAATTGTTCTTACCACTTTGAGGTATCTTTTAAGGCTTGCAAGTCTCTCTGTAAGAAACACAACGTTTAAAACGATTATTAATCTGTACAAACCCAAAGCACAAGAATTTTAAACAACAAAAATGGCCGCCATTGAATGATGTGCAGTGTTGCAGTGATTTTTAGTATTTTTAGTACGAGATCGAACAGACCTTGTTGTGTGGATTGTGTGTTTTACTATAGTCTATTTTTTTCTTTATTATTATTAACAATGTATAAATTGTCAATAATAATTATTATTAATAAAGAATAAACATAACTGTCTCTTTTTGTACCTACCTTTAAAACTTTCTGTGTAAGTATTTTTAATACTTATTAATATTTTGCAATTATAGTGACAAAAAAATCAAAGGGTAAAATATTTTCCTAAAATAATCATAATTTAAAGTTACTTTAATATTTTAAAGTGTCAATGCATGCAATGTGAATGGTGACAACTAAAATCATAGAAAATGTTTATTGCCAACAAAAAGCTGCAATAAAAAAGGATATAAAAAGAGGATAACCGTATTCGAAAAGGACAGACTAGAACGGTAAAGTTGGCTACACTGCTGGCCCGGCCAAGCGCAATGCAAGCCGTCCATCGTGTAGCTTTGTGGAACAGCCATATTTCGGCGTCTCTTCGAAATACCCTTCCAGGGTTTGTTATAGTATAAACGACCTTTTGCCAAATGTTGAAACATATGGATGCTACCAATTCGTAGATGATACATCAATAAAATATATCTTTTTTCACCAAATGCCAAACTGAAGAAGAGATTGAAAATAAGGCAAACGACTGCATTACAGAAGCAAGCCAATGGATGGTAAGCAACAAATTAACGCTTCAACTGTGTGGTGGGGTATCACATACCCCACGCGTGTTTTGTACTGCTGCCATTTATTTACAAGTGGAATTAATAAAACATAGAGGTCAGTAGTAGTAGTGTTGTTAACGGTGGAGTAGGTAGTTAAGACGTATCGAAATCGTTTTGGGTATCACATACCCCACCACACAGTTGGTGTAACAAAAATTAAACGGTAAGTTAAACATAGTTTTTTATAGTACTAGTTTTTTACAAGCTTTAACCCCGAAATTTTCAAAGTGACAGAGTTAGTTTATAAATAAAGGCATGGTTTAAAAACAAATGTACGTTTATTTTTAGCCATTTCAAGATGACTCCTGAAACAACTTCCAATCGAATGCGTACTGAGGTACAAGGAGACTTGTATGGAACATGCACATTATACATGTTCAAATTGCCATGATTTAAGAAGTGCATAACTTTTTGTCTTGCAATATTTTATTATTCTGTTTTTTTGTGTTTTAGGTTGTTTTTTTTTTTATTTTGTCAATTGTATTTTTATTTTTCTTAAGTTTATATTTAGTAGTTTTTTAATAGACTAAAGAATTTTACTATATTTTACTCTCTTTTGACTCCCGATTTTTTATAGATCATTAATATTGTAATATATGTTTTTTTGGTTTATAACACCATTAACCTTATAAAAAAAATTAAATTATAAAAAAATGTAAATGCAGGTATATTTTGATATATTTTTTGAATCAGAGTATACCCCACCAAACAGGTCTCGTAATTTTTTTAACACATGGTCGAAGGGTTAAGTATGAACATTAATAAAACACAAAAACTTACATTCAGCATCAGCAACCCCATAACATCTATTAAATTTTTGGGAATAGAACTTGATAGTTGATTAAATTGGTCCCACCTTATAAATCAACTTATAAACAAACTATATATAGTATACTTAATGAATATTGCAACTCAAAAGGCTGCTTTAATATGTTACTATGTTAATTTTCAGTCTTCTTTCTTATGGAATAATTTTCTGGGGTGCTTCCAGGGACATCAGCAGGATTTTTGTCCTACAAAAGAAGGCTGTCATGAGCAAAATTGACCAAAAGGAAAGCTGCAGAACATACTTTAAAAGCTTAAAAATACTTACCTTGCCATCCATATTTATACTTACCTGCCTTCTGTCTGTGCACAACAACAAAAATAACTTGATCAAAAATAAACTCTATCACAACTATAATACCAGAAATAAGGCCAATTTAACTATTCCCCACCACAGGTTAGAAATAACAAAACAAGGAATAGGTTACTGGGGTCCAATATTGTACAATCCATTATCAGCAGAATTAAAAAAACTGAACCCAAATACTTATAAAAAATCCATACAGAGCCTCCTGTTAGCAAATTAATGAGTACCTGGAAAGTCTGCGATTATAAACTTTTAGTTTTATGTCCAGTTTACATGGTATACTCGTACATAAATTTTATTTATGTCCCTCACCCAATTTTTTACGGCCTACGAGCCTAATTACGGCACTTAGGTACAAGTTTTTTAATGTTAGAAATTAAGAAAAAAGCTTTATGTCACTTATTATTACATGGTAAACTAAATGATTTTTTTACATAAATTACAACTAATATATGAAGATTTATTAAATAAATAACATCTATTAATAAATAAATACATGAAATGGGGTTTTAAAGCAAATTTGCCATTTTGTTATGATCACCAGGTATATTCATCCCTTGGTTATTGTTAGTATGGTTTTGACATGGCATTGAAAACATGATTGATCTAATAAGTCCATCTCTAACAGAATCTCCACACTGTCCATGACTAAATGTAAATACAACACCATTACTTGTTGACTGATTTGGATAACTACCAATGGGATAACAACCAATTTTATTTAATACAACTCCTACTTTGTATATCTAAAATATAGAACAAAAAATATGTAGGTATATATATATATAATATATATATTACAAAAGAAGCATAAATAGCCAATTACCTTATTACGTTGAATATAGATAGGTCTGTTAAATGAAATTTCAATAAGCGACTTATAGTTAACTCTACTTGTAAAATGGGTATATGTCAATCTACTTCCATCTGCATCTAATAAATGTGCATATAATAATTCTGGATAAGAATAACTCTGTGTTTTGTCATCTTCCATAGGAATCTGAGCCGGAACCTAAAGTTTAAATTTTTTAATATATTTATTTCTTGCTAAGGTTGTTGGAGGAAAGGTTTTTAATTTTAATATTTTTAAACTAACTTTTAAATAAATTAAAACAAATATTGTTTTTTACTTTCTCAAAATTGTCTGTTTTATATGTCTTATATGAAATGTATATGACATGAAAACTTATTTTATGTGTAATTGTGTTAAATAAATTATTAGAAAATTGCAACCTCACTTGTTTATGTATAAAAATAAATCCTGAGATTAATTTCACTTACTTGTATGCCATATACGCAAACATTCTTATCACATGTAAATGTGACAGCACAATCCAGAACACTAGTATTCATACATTCGGTTATTCGAATCACTTGTCTTGAGCAATACATTTTCTTAGATAGATCAATTCCACTGTCAGAGTTTTGAATACTAAAACTTATCATTGATGTACGGGAGGTATCCATTGAAGAGGCACCAGCCTAAAAAAAATAAAACACAGTCCAATGTCAATAAGTAACTCTGAGCCATTATTTATTTAACACGGCTAACGTATGGATTATTGGTGATACCTAAGTTTTGGTCAAATATATACCGCTAAAAAATGTTTATAATAAAAATTAGGATAAAACGAAATTTAGATTTTTTTTTTTTCAAAATGTACGCAAGTTTCCTTTTAGGTCACATATGTAACCCTCAAAATTTGTTTAAAAATAAATAATTTTAAACCAAATACAAAATTTTAAATGTGAGACAAAATTTTGAAAATATTTTTAGTAAAATTAAAGTTATCAACAAAAAAAATAATGAATAAGTGACCCTCCTCACCCTAAGGCAAACAGTAGTCTATCTAGGGTCTTGTTTAACGCGTTTGTACTTCCATAGTTCCATAGGAATAATTTCATAACACCTCGTCACCTGAGAATTATAGTGTTCTATCTGCATTTTCTTTTTTTTATTCAGGTTAGTCTTGTTTTAAGTATTAAAGATGCATATTGTTCTATCTATATATAATTGGGGTAGAAATTGTACAGTTTAAGCCTTAAACTTTACAATTTCTACCCCAATTATATATAGATAGATCAATATCATCTTTAAGACTTAAAACAAGACTAACCTGAATAAAAAAAAGAAAATGTAGATAGAACACTATAATTCTCAGGTGACGACCTGCCTGTTAATGCATTGAAGTCAAAGTCTGCATAAACCGTATAAGTAAACCTACCAAAATTGACCAAAATGACCTTGATAATACCCAAATACTAAATGTTAATGCGAAATTGGAAACCTCAACTTATAAAGAACTCCACCAGGTAAAAATTAATTAGTCGCCAACAGTTTCCATAAGAACAGCAAGCATAGTCAAATGACTCATAAATAAGTGCTCATATAAGCTCATTAATCACTTAAGTTCAGATAAACACTAGGCAAAAAAAACTCATCGTAAAGAAATAAACATTTGTAGATTACTAAGCACATTTAAGGGAACCATAAATTACGTTCTATGCGAAATAATAAACAACCGCACAGTGGGGTGCAACGTTATCGATAGTCAGCAAGCTCGGAATCCGACTTGGACAGAGACACAGACACATACGAACAGAAAGATCAGTTCAATGTCCCTCAAAAACCAATAGTTATTTGTTTTACAAGTGTTGAAAAGCGACTTTTTCATGCGAGTTTTTAAGTTGCCCACGAGGCTGTTAGGCCGAGTGTGCATCAACACGAGCTTGAAGAAAGCTTTTCTCACAAGTATAACACAATGTTTTTTCTGCGACCCTTTTATTTTTTATTATTTTAAATACAAAACAAAATAACCCAAAAACTTTTTTGACAGCTGAATGTCAAACGATGCTTTCCGGTTCTTTTCACACAGACCTGTCACTTTTTACACAGAAATGTCACTTTACATTCGTGTTTTGCCTTGCCAATGAAAAGATTCATTTTCTAAGCAACGATGCCATCATAAAAAGTGACTTTTACATAGTGGTTTGTACATTTTAATAACTAAATTATTGTAGTATAAATATTCCCGAACAATTTGGTATAATTAGTTAAGTGTAAAGATAAATATTTGATCAATTGACTTGGAGTTTTCGATCTGTCTATTCTGCCATGATGGCTGCCGTTTTAATAAACCACGAAATGTGTAATCGACATGAAATAGATTTACGTTTGAACCATCACGGATTATAATTTAGATTCTAAATAATAAACAAGTTGTGGATTTTATCAAATTAAAAGGGCAGGGTTGTACTTTATTTTATCTAATTAAAAGGTCAGGGTTGTACTGAATTTTATCTAGCTAAATGTCAGGGTTGTACTTGAGTTTATTTAATTATTTTAATAAATATTTCTTAAAGGGGATTTACCATAAACGCTGTGTAAATTAAGTGTAATTGATATAGATTTTTTGAATACGAGATTTATTAAATGGTACTCGCAGATTCACATTTATGTCCCGTAATTAGTGATTTTACCAGTCATATTTAATTATTTGGTATAACGTTTGGAGTGAGTAGCAACAGTAATTGTTTGATAGCGACATTTAAGTTATCACCACTGTCCGTGGATTCCTGATACAAAAATCCCATTTTAAATTACTATCCTATAAATTTTAAGAGGTGCGTGAAGGTCTGGATTCATCTGAATGCGCAACGCGGACATTGCCTTCTGTGATTTGGTCAAATTATTACATAGTATTTTTTGGTAATTATTAAGTTATTAAAGTTTGCCGACTAATAAGGCATAATGGGCAATTGCGGACCCTCAATTAGAATGACCTCGAAGCCGATTATTATTTACTGCTTATACAGTTGATTGAGCCTGAACTCTAATAAATATTACATGAAAAATTATGAAACAGTAAACTTAAATTCTAAAGTTAATAATTATAAAAACTTTATTTGGAGATGGAATACTTGACGGATACAGTTAAATTTAAAATACAAAAATAGAGACTAAGACTCAATCTACTTTTATCCAACAAATAAGCAAACAAACAAATAAACAAGCTAAAATGAAAACGAGGAACACATACGACAGCTGAGCTATGATGTATTATTTATCTAATGGTATTTATATATTTATTTATTTATATTATATGTGGGTTGTGGTCGCAGTAAGGAGATATTGTATAGTTTAAAGGGTTTGTAGGATGTCCCTTTCTTTCAGAGTTCTCTTTCAGAAAAATAAGTTAAATGTCGTTTGGGTTACGGTTATGGTTGTTGCTTTATCCAAATAAGTATCATTATTGTTTGTTATAAATTTTGGAAGGTTTTATGAGAGATGTTTAAAAAAAATAAACGGGAGCCTTCCAGGTCTTGAGTTCAAACGTAATTTATCGTCTTTTATTTACGGTATTTATAATTTCCCTTTTAATACTTTCCCCATAAATACAACACCTCAAAAGTACCTTGGGTTACTAAATTAATGAGCTTTATTACCGTAAGTTTTTTTAAATTTATTTGTCGTGGTGTTATATTTCATTTTATCGCTTGGGGTGTAACTTTTACAGATTATTTTCTGGGGGAGGTTTGTACGCTTACAGTACAGACAGAAATATGCCGTGCTGTTGTGTTCTTTATGGTTGACAAGAGCTAATAGGTTGCTTCGCTTGTACGGCCGTGCTAAGCACAGAGGCGGTAACTGCAATATTAAGTAATAAAGGACAAACAATAATTTGTATTGTCTGTGCTTAGCACGGCAGTGTATATTGGAACAGTCTTCATCAAAGAGTCTTAAAACATTGGTGGAATATGTTGTAAAAGTTTATACTCCAGTTTGTTTTAGAATTAAATGCAACCCATCTTGCAAGGACGGTTCTCCGAACATATTTAAACTTATAAAACGATCCCGTTATTCAAATTCAAATCCGGTAAATCGGTCATCCCGAACATTCTTTTAACGATGTTATGTGACGGGCAAAAATTTATAAAAGAGCTTGAGGATTTTAAAAGCCAGGGCAAAACCAAGAATGCCTGAAAAAATCAGGCAATTTAAAATCCCACCTTTAAATTTTAAAGCCAAAACCTACATAGACTTAATATATTGGCAAAATTGCAATGTAACGGAACCACCACAACTTTTGAATACTTAAAAAATGAACTGAATTTTATGGTTATTTATGGATGTGTGAAAGAAGATGGAAGCATTCTAGAATTTCCAAAGTTTCCCTGTCACACACAGGCTGTTGAGAGATGTGTTAAACCAGTAACGAAGGCGTCTTCGGCAGTTTGTGGTCAGAATGACAGCGATGGGTTTATTCGCGCCAGATTAGATTCTCGTAAAATAATGCCAAAATGCGATACCAAGACACAATATGCTACCAAAAAATAAAAATCCTTAAGGGTGGAACGACACGGTTGAAGCTTAATATGCCAAAATGCGATACCATCGCGGTGACATATTTTTTAATTATTCTGGGCCGTAAAGCAACCTATATTTAACTACTTTTTTATATGATTTTACTCATCCAAGCACCACCAAAGCCAAATTAATTGCATTTTTAACTACGAATTTCGACCACTCAACTTGACAACTGCAAAATCTAACCTACAATAATTTATACACAACCACAATTAGATTTATAACTAGCTTAGTTTGTTTTAATCAATGCGACCAACTTGACAACTGTATTTACCAACCAAAACCCTAGATTTGCAACGTTGCCGCAGTCCAGATAAAAAAAATTAACTTTATATGGTGGATTACTCGTGTTAAGTTGGTTTTGTGTTTTACCAAATTCTGGGTAAGCTACAAATAAATGTAATCATATAAATTAACTAATCAAGGTGGTTGTTACGTTTTAACATTTATATTAATGTTAAATTTGTTCTCGAAATCATGTAATGTTTGGAAACAAGAAACACAATATGCCAATTTTCAGTTAGGCAGGTGTTGCTCAATATTTTTATTGTTATTATTTAATAAGTAAGCATTTTATAATATAACCCATGTACCCAAAACTAGAGTTTTCATAAAAACCATACAATTTCGAAATTAAATGCAAATTTCAAAGCAGATTTTAACGCAAATGTCAACGCAAAATAAATGTCGACAAAACAGCACATATTTAGTTTGAATTTGCGTTCGATTTACGTAAAAAAAAATATTTCAACGCAAACTTGACCATATTTTACAAAAACAATTTTATTTTATAATAAGACACCAGCACAAAAAAAAGAAAACTATCTTGATGTGGGGACGTTACGAGTTCTGAATTAGAATCCGCCCTCATAATTGGCCAAACGGGTCTTGGTTTGGCGCTTTAGCTCAAAAAATAGTTTGAGCAATTTTAAGACCCATTGGGGCAATTCAAAGTACAAAAATGCGTCTAGTCCCTAGATCAAGATACTGTTCTTGTTTTATGTGGCTGTGTTATTATAAGTAAGAGGCGTTTTTCAAATGTTTAATATAGTTACTTTTCTTAAAATAGTATAGTAACTTTTCTTGAAATCGCTTTCCTGAGAATTTGTTAAAAACATAGGCCTTATTTTCAAAGGCGATATATAGATATTATTTTTTATATGATTTGGTGTACAAGGTGTGTTCAGAAAACAACGGGAATTTTCTTTTTTTGAAAAAAGTATTTATTTATTCGTCTACATTAAAGTTGTCGCCTTCAAAATAGTTCTTATTAGATATTATGCACTTGTGTCAGCGCTTCTTCTAATCCTCTAAACTCTTCTCAAACACGATATTTGGGATAGTCTTTAGTTCTTTCAGCGATGCGCTTTTAATGTCATTTATGCTTGCAAAACGACGGCCCTTTAAGGTTCTCTTTATTTTGGGGAATAGGAAAAAGTCAGACGGAGCCATGTCTGGCGAATATGTAGGCTGGTGCATCATTACAGTGTTGTTTTTGGCAAAAAATTGTGTTTAAAATTCAACAATTTCGGAACAAATTTTGCTGCCACGCGTTTCATACCCAAAACATTCGAAAAAATTTCATTGATATGCCAACATCATCAGCGACTTCTCTGATTGTCATTCGGTGATCGTTCATAACCATTTCTTCCACTTTTTCCATGTTTTTATCGGTTGTTAATGTGCTTGGGCGTCTAGGGCGTTCGTCATCTTCAACGTACTCTTCTTAAACTCTTGTTTTACTCATAGCAGACTCACCATAGGCCTTTCTTAACATTTCACACACTTTATTTCATTTTTTATCCAAAATTTGATACAAATTCTTTGATCCATTTCTTTTAACGAACGAAAATCGCCGAGCTCATAAAAACACGTCTAACCTTAGCGGCTGCCACAGACAAAGTAAACAATGAAATAGAGATGATACAAAATACTAGGAACAGGTATTTTGTAACAGGTATAAGCAAATAACAGTCTGTAATAGGTATCGATTATATAAAGTACTAGGTACACCTAGTATTTTATAAAATACTAGGTACACCTAGTATTTTATAAAATACTAGGTACACCTGGTATTTTATAAAATAGGTACACCTAGTATTTTATAAAATACTAGGTACACCTGATCTGTTCGACTTTATGCTTTCCTAATACTTACGTTCGTTTAAGACCATATTTAAGAGCAAAGCGTTTTTTCGTTTATTTTTTTTTGTTCAGTTTTTTGATAACGAATTCTTTAACATAAATTTCACTTCAAAAATAAAATTGTCTGCTTGATGTATGTATATATAAATAAGGTTTCAAATTTTGTTTTCTTTATAAATAAATTTGAACAAAACATAAACTTGAATTTGAAAAGCTGTTGTCAATGCCGATAGCTGCCGTTATAATCTGTAACAGCCAGTAATGGCAGATTATCTGCCGCAGATACGCCCGGTCGAAAATACTAGGGAGGTGATGGGATCAGTTTTCACCGATACGGAGTAGCAACCAGTATTAGTGGAAACTAGCGCATCGGAGCCGAAAATACTAGGTATTAAAATAACAGGTATTTGGAACAGGTATGGACTTGGACCTGTTATGTGAGGTACCTGTTCCAAAAAAATACTGATTTGTATCATGTCTACAATGAAAACGTTTAAAATTTTTATCATTCTTCAGGAGTATGTATACCAACATAATAAAAACAATTTTATGACAACGGACTCCAAACCCGCGAAATTTAAAAATTCCCGTTATTTTTTGAACACAACTCGTATGTTTGCTCCAAAATTATAAGTTAAAACAAGTACAGATGTAATTTTTAAATTAAACATTATAAGAAAATAAGAAGATATAACTTACCACTCCCATAGAGTATAAATCCTTTTTCTTACGACGACTTTTGGATAGAGAAAAGCCGTCAGGCATAGGTAAAGCGGAGCTATCAGAACAAATATTCATTAGGATTGAATATTTTTCGGCCTGTGTCAATAAATTTGAGTGCGCTGGAACTTCAGCAAATTGCTGAGGTGTAAGAGTTAAAAATCTAATTTTCATTAGTGCATCTCTAATTGTTGGGCGGCTACCATTTCCTCCCTCAGAAGAAACATTACCTGCAATATTCGCAATAAATAATAAATAAAAATATTAGATTATTAAGTTTCAGTTTTAAGGATAATATCTAAGGTGAAAATAAAAGTTTGTACGTGTCACGCTTTGCAATGAATCTTTACTAAGCTCACTGGACAAACTTCCAGCTCGCCCGTAAAGATTCATTTACAAAATCCTGACACCTAAATAACTATTACCTATCACACCTGAAGTGTCATTTTAATCTGCATCGTCTACAAACATTTCTAAAAAACGTATTAATTTAATTACAACACCTTGCAATTTTAAACCTAAATTTTGTATCAAAAACGAATTAATTAACAAAATTAAAGAAACCAGTACCAGATAATGAAAAATTAATTTCATTTGATGTTACTCATTTATTCCCATTAATCCCAAAATAATACTAACCCAGTCATTAAAAAAAGATATTAAATTAAATACCTTAGAAATCTGTCTAAAACAAAATTACTTCCAATTTAACGATACATTAGTAATAATGGATTAATTATGGGTAATTCACTTAGTCCATTAATAGCTAATATTTTTGTAAATCACTTAGAAATAACCATTCAGAAACATCCAAATATTAAACAATTTTTATAATGGTACTGATATGAAGATGACATAATATTGAGTAAGATCACCTCAAGTGGACCCCCAATTTCCTTCTTAATTGTAGAATTGTATTTTAATATAAAGAAGTCACTATAAAAATTAATCCCTAAAACAGTTTTTCAAAATTTTCATTTCAACAATTTTTTTACAAAGAAAATTTCGAGTACTTTTAATTAAAAAATAGATTCCAAACCAACTGTGAAAGATAATGTAATTTAAATGCTTTGATAGGTAGGCTCATTGCCAGAAAAATCTAAAGGAGCCTCCAAAATAAGCTTATAGATTCAGAACAGAGATATATATCTGATTCAGGTATACATACATAGAAGTCAATCGCCTAAAATCAATATAATTTCACAAATAATTATACATAAACCTTATAAGGTTAGTAAAAGAGGATGGGCCAGCAATAACAAATCAAGGCCAAATTTTACGATTTATAATTGTTTTTTTTATTTTGAGGGAATCATATTTCAAGCCATGTCACTTTAAAGCCTGGTTCATATAGATGCGACATGCGAATTTGCGAAATGCGAAAATGTTTTCATTGGTCCATTTGATTTGGCGGAAAAAGTGTTTCGACGTTTCGACAGATTCTGCGAATTCGCAAGATTTGAAATCTGGGGGGCGAGAATCTTGAGATTGATCCAATATTTTGCGAAAATCGCACGAATTTGGCGTGATGCGCATGCGCATTAATGCAGATGCCTATTATAATATATAATATAATATATATACGTATTTGTTATATGTACCCGCGCCATTTTTGTTTATGTTCTGTGTTTATTTCATTTGTATTGCATCGTTGTTGTTATTTGAAATGTTTCTTGCTAAAGTTGTTTTTTGTTCTTTATAATGGACAAAGAGTTTTTGGAGGTACATTAGTTTCTTATTTTACCTTATAGTAGCATATTTTTTTAGAAGTAACTTTACTATTTAAGTACCTACCTATAGAAAATGTTAACCAAGTATGGCAAATATCACCTGGAGAGAAAATAATGTCCCTAAAATGCCATGGCAAATATCGCCTAGTGAGAAAACAATGTCCCTAAAATGGTTCCGACAATTCGCATCTATATGAATAGGAGCTGCGAAATGCGAATATTCGTATTTCGCAAATTCGTAAATTCGCAAATTCGCATCTATATGAACTCGGCTTAACAAATAAAATTCGTTAAATTTTAAATGATAATGGAATTTGAGTGGTATGTAATTTTAAAGCGCCTTTGAGTTTTATAACCCTTAGTTTAAAGGTCTTGTTAACAATTGTACAGCTTGTTAAAATATTAAAGAAAGTTATTTTTGAGTAAATCGTACTTTGAATAAAAGACCAAGCGAGGTTAAATTCAAAGAGTTATAATTACGGCGAATATTTCATTTATGCATTGTTGTAACAAAAAAGGTACTGTATTAAGTGGAAATTCGAAAATTATTATCATTATTCCACATTACTTTTTGGAAAAAGAACAATATATTGTCCTACGACATAATAAGCTTATTACGCCAAAACAAGTCAATTTTGACATAAAAATTGTTGCAAATTTTAATTTAAAATATTGAAAAATTTACGATTTAGTAAGTAAATTCAACCTAAAATTGACCCTAAACATATTCGTGAAATAGTCTAGCCGAATATCACTCGTAGACTCCAGCCTACTCAGCCTGCTGGTAAATCACTGGTCTAACTTGAGACACCCATTATAAGTCAACAAAAATATAACTTTTATTTTATCACAAAAGATTGTCTAGTACTTGCTAGTATTCTAGGTTGTGTAGTGAATGCCAATGGAACACTTCCCCATTTTTCTGCATACACTTCGTCGGCCTTGTCCCGAAGTGACCATTTAAATAATTTTTACAAGAAATACAAGAATGATAGTTATTTATATTGACGTAATATTCAAAGTTTTAGTCTGCTGTGTTGTCTGTATGTGGAAGATACAGATAGGCCACTTCATGAGGTAATATAATAGTTAATTTGCAAATTCTTTTTTATTTTGTGGGTTAGGCCACTTCGTGGTAAGACCGACGATTTAGTTAAGGGCGGCCGCTTTAATTTTAGTTTGATTTTGAATATGCATGCCATTAAAATGCAGTAGCGGCCCGTGACATTTCATTTTGGTGAGGCAGAGGCAGGGTTTCGCCCTCATTTAAAGGCAAAGAAATTTTTTTAAACCCAATATAAAAAAACTGACGTCGCAGTGCACAACCTATACTTAAAACTAAGTAAAAAACTTAGACTGTGGTGGGGAAGGAATCCTCTACTTTGTCAATGAAATATATTTTATTGTAAAAATGACGTTTATTTTAAATAAACCTCATTTTTGTCTAATTAATATTTCATTGTTCAGCAAGAACCACGTGAAGATCAACAATATCGGTAAAATTTCTCACCGTAATATCCATAATGACCAAATTCACAAAAATCACCAAGTTCAATTAACTAAACCCACAGAATAAACCATTTACAAAAGAATCATAAAATAGACAAACTCATAGAAAAAGAATAAACAAAATATTGCGTAAATAACCACAGATTTGTTCTTTAAACAGTTCAGAATTTTATAACCAAAACAAACCTAAAGAAGGAATCTGTATTTATTTTATTGGTTACTGTGATGGCTACAAGATGGCGATCGTGTTAAAATATGTTTATTTTAGAATAGAAATATAATTTCGATTAAATCGATTTATTATAAGAAAAATAATACCATTTATTATTGAATTTTGAAAAACGTGTGAAGTATAATTTATCTAAAATTCCGCAACAGTATGGCCACAACACCTGCTTATTTCCTTGGGTGTAGGCGTGCCTGCCTCGCGTATGCTAATACGAGAGAAGGAGACAACTATGATATCGCATTGTAATAGAACGAGACAACAAGGCTAACACCAATCATGAGTCTAAATTAGTTCAGGCATGCTTCTGAGCCAATCATTTACCCTAGTAGCAATTCCGGAAAAGTCTTGGCCCAGCATGGGTCAAGATACTTTGGACAGATTTTTGCTCAAGAATTGTTCCAGATTCTTGGCCAAGATTATTGGGCAAGACTTGAGCCAGACTGTGGCCAGAATTTGACCAGAAATCTGAGGCCATCTATTGCTAAACTTTGGGACTATCCTATAGAGTAGAGGTTCTCATTCTACAGTAGTATCATTCACAATAATGTATGCGTCAGCTCTGACGCATAACCATTGGCGTAACTACAGGGGGGCCTAGGGGGGCCGGGCCCCCCCCAGACATGGCTGCCCCCACCCCCAGGAAAAGGCTGACTTTTACCTGTTACAATTTTTTGTTATTACCAAATTTGCAATAGAAATATGTATACATATATGTATCATTTATCAACTTTCAAAATACGAGTAAGTACCTATTTTAAAACCGCCCCTGTAAGCTCGCAACTAGCAATCAGGGCTGGATGCTCCCGTGGACGAGTTTTGGTTAGTGCCGCGCATGACGTCACTTGATGAGTAGTTGCCGTGCGAATACACGAATAATAGTAATATTATCAAAGAAAATAGAGAAATATCTGGACATATATGACTATATGACTATAGTGCGTTTTTATTAAACTTAATATTAAAGAAAGTGTTATAATATCGATAATACCCGGACAACATTCGTGATATTCATACCAACATCATGTCGTGATTTTCACAAATTTTAATCATACGGACATCATCCGGATGTCACTGCGTGAGGAATGAAAATCATGTCGTTATTTTTTATGCCAACGCTGTTTGCGATTGACCGATGGCCTAAAAAATCATGTCGTGATTTTTTATGCCAACGGTATTTGGATAATCATTTTTGCGCCACGTTCGTACACTAAGAGAAAAATTATGTTGAATCACAGTTTTTGCGGTTAAATGCATTCAATATTTTCTTGGATTTAAATTAACTATATAATATATTTAAATTAACTATAGATATTATAGTTAACTTAAATCCAAGAAAATATTGAATGTATTTAACTCCAAAAACTGTTGATTCAATATATATGTAGGTATACTTTTTCTCTCAATGTACGAATCTGGCGCAAAAATAAATATCCAAACACCGATGGCATAAAAAATCACGACATGATTTTTTATGCCATCGGTGTTTGGATATTAATTTTTGCGACACATTCGTACATTGAAAGAAAAAGTATGTTAACAATTGAATCAACAGTTTAACATTCAATATTTTCTTGCGATTTAAATTAATTAATTATATGTAGTTAATTTAAATCCAAGAAAATATTAAATGTATTTAACCCCAAAAACTGTTGATTCAACATAATTTTTCTCTTAGTGTACGAACGTGGCACAAAAATGATTATCCAAACACCGTTGGCATAAAAAATCACGACAAGATTTTTTGTGCCATCGGTCAATCGCAAACAGCGATGGCATAAAAAATCACGACTTGATTTTCATTTATCACCGAGTCGGATGATGTTCATATGAACAAAATTTGTGAAAATCACGACGTGACGTTTTTTTCATTTATTACGCGGTGACTTCCGTATGATATGAGTATGAATAAAATTTGTGATATCATCATGACTTCACCAGGAAATCCCGATTGTTGTACGGGTAGATTCTTTCAGTCCTTGATAACATTTAGGACTGTAGTTTAAGAGTTGGTGTTTTAAATTAAACTTATAGTCAATGTCCAGAAAATGTTTAGATGAAACAGAAGCGGTCTTAACGTTAATATTGCCTATTATTTTTAAGACATTTAACCACCGTTTGCACAAATCAAAGTTTTTCGGGAATCGATGAAATTTAATGTTTTTATTTAAAGGTTTTTTCTTGGACTGGTTGTCCGAATTGTATCCAAATATGCCACACCGCATTTTAATAAATGCATATGGTACGACACAAACTAAAACACAAACAAAACAAGTTAACAAAAAGTAATTCAAACCTCACAACAAGTGAAGTATTTAATCCCCGCCCAACATGCGCACATACACTTAAGGTTTATGTATCGTGCCTTTTGGAGACAACATTTGTTTTACTTTTTTAATGATTCCCAGTCACAATAACAGGCCCACCCTAGGTCCCCCCCGGGTCAGATGGCTAGTTACGCCAATGCGCATAACTAAAATTTACTCTTTATGAACTTGAAAGATTATAAAATACATGTTTATTTTTACGGGCACCTGTTTTTTTTTTTAACATAGAAAATTAAAAACTTTAACTCTTTCAAAATTTGTTTCGTTTTTAATTCTATTGTTTACCAGATTTATGGATAAAAACCGAATTTACTGGAAAGAAATCGTGGAAAATTAATGTTTTTAGTAACATTCTTAACTTTTGAAGTTCAACAAAATTTTGTATTGACCAAAAATCTTGAATTGAAAGTTCCTATTTAACGTGTAATCGTGTAAAAATTCTTGGCCAAGAATCTGGTCAAATTCTGGTCACAGACTTGTCCAAGTCTGCCACCAGTCTGGATAAAGAATTTTGATCAAGAGTCTTGGTCAAGAATTGTCCAATTCTTTACAAAGTGCTTCTCCAAGTATCTTGACAAAAAATCTTGTCCAATTCCATTGCTACTAGGGTAGCTATAAATATTAGTTTAAATTGCGGTCGTTTCAAATTCAAATAATTTTAATGTTGCTGGGTATTCCACGTATAAAATCAATCAATTTTATGGACTATTTCACAATTCATGTAATCCAAATATTAAAAATTTATAGTATATTATAGAAAGTAAAATATTTAAATTATACTTAATTTTTTAATTCTCTATGATGAGGCACTGCCTCACCTGCCTCCCCTGACGAACCGCCACTGTTAAAATGGTTATCAATATTGTTAATTGAAAAATTTTAGGAAACTTATTTTGAACAACTTTTGTTTGTAACTTAAAAAACTATAAATTAATAAAAATGGTTACGTTGAAAACGATTTTACATCCAAACTAGATTGAATGTCCCATTGGCACCCAGAGATACATGTATTTTGTCTGGGAATTGTTTCTAAATATTATATGTATGGTAAAATTTACAATTTACCTATACCATCTAATCTTGGTACTTTCGCACCTGAAGTGTGATTATGTCTTTCAGCATACTGAGTTAAGGCTGAAAATAATTCCAACTCAGAATTTATATTTAACTCATCTTGATCCAAAACAGTCAAAATTGTGCTTAATTCCACATCACCAAAACTACTTTCAGTTAATACTTCCTGTGTTTGGCTACATATAATCTACAAATAAAATTAAACTATACATAAAACATAAAACTAGGGTTTCACTTAAAAAAAAATCCCAGTTAAAATTTTAATAATTAGTTAATAATAGTTAATAATTTTTAGCTAGAATCTTGCTGTGATGATGGTGCCAAATATAAAAGATCATAAAAACAGTTTTTATTGATTTTCTGTAAATTTTGGTTGAAATATAATTTGCTCTGCATATCTGCATAAAAATGGTCTACCTAGTAGTTCTCTAGATGAGGCTAAGAAAAGTTGAAGCAAGGGCATACATATAAGTATGCACTATATGCTTACCTATAAAGATCACAAAAATCAGTTTCTCTTAATTATTTTGGGTATTATAAAATTGTTTGGTGAATTTGACCTTTGATATTTGGCAACTTTGGCACAATTTTGCTTGGGACTTTTGTACGAAGGTGTAGAAGGGCCATCCAAAATTCAAATCTGTATTTTTTACAAATTTCTGAGATATAACTCGAAATTTTAAAATTTCGAGTTATATCTCGAAATATTACACCAAAATTTCGTGTTATATCTTGGAATTTTAAAATTCCGTGTTATATCTCGGAATTTTAAAATTCCGTGTTATATCTTGGAATTTTAAAATTCCGTTTTTTATGTCGGAATTTTAAAATTCCCTGTTACATCTCGAAATTTTAAAATTTCGTGCTATATCTCGGAATTTAAAATTCTCGAATTGTCGCCTAATAGACGACTTCGCCATTCACCACTAGTCAGTGTTGCCACTTTTTTATTTTATACTAGGTGGTTCCGTCACTTCGTTCTAGATTGTACTAAAATGCTATATGTGAAATTGGCCACAGATGGCAGCACCAATAATTCATATATTGGGTTTTTTGTTACGAATATTGGCATAATCATATATTATATCACAAGAACTATGAATTTAATTGGTTAAACTAGGCTCAGTAGTTTTTTGTTTGGTTTTTCTTGGAAAATGTTGAATGCAAAATATTATTGACAACAGTCAGTTTTAAAGTTTAAAGATGAATGAAATTGAGGAAGCAGCTGAAAAGGCGAAAAATTGCGGCCTGCTGCCGGAAAAATCAAAATCTTTATACGAAAAAACTTACTTCGAATATATCAAATGGTGTAACATAAGGAAGAATAGTTTTGCGCCTATTGTTTTTAATTTTTGACGTTTCATTATAGCCCGCTGGGTCATAATAACGCCCGCGGGCTATAAAAAGACGTTTACGTCAAAGAATTTTCGTTATAATTGTCATATTATAATGTAATCGTGCATAAAGGCATTTATGTTGGCAGTCCTGCCTGAGAACTTATAAAAAACTGCAAGTAGCACCCTGCAAGGCTGGCTGTGAGATATAAAAAAGCCCATAAATAAAGAAGGTTGCAAAACACCCAGTGTAATTGCACATGTTTGATGCTGCTATCAGTCAGTCATCTTGTTGAACTTCGTTAACATACACCGTTTTAACTTAAAATCGATTTGAAAATTATTTTACATTGCATAAAAATTCACAATTAAATCACAACCATAGAAATGGACTCGCGTGGTCCTTGGAATACGACTGCCATGTTTAGGAAAAAATAGAATAATTCAAGATAGGTGACAGTTTCATGTAGTAAGTGACAGGGTGTTTCTACTTTTTTATAAATATTAGATAAAAACCATATTCAGGGGCTCCCTTTTCGGGGGCTGTAGCTCCCTTAGGAGGCATTTCTCGACCTATATTTATAGGGACTTTTTTTCTTATTTTTGAACGTGGAATCTGCTGTTAAAGTATGGTGCACTAATTTCGGAACACCCTGTACAACATGAAATTTTAAAATTTCGAGTTATATCAGAATTTTGTTAAAATTTGTAAAAAATACAGATTTGAATTTTGGATGGCCCTTCTACACCTTCGTACTTTTGAGACATTATTACTAGTGCCTGTATAAACAAGATTCTGAAGAGAGACCAATTTTTTTCCTACTTTGACTATAAAGGCTAAAATACAAAATATTTACCTTAATACATTTCTCCATAAGCATTGGTTCCTCAAATAATTTAGCAAATTCATATGCCCTACAAGCATTTTTAGGATACAAATCAGACCATAAATATTTAGTACACTCTTCAACAAGATGAGGTAACATGTATTTTTTTGCACCATAGCATAACTCACAGGCTTGATCAAATGATGTCAGATTTATTTTGTCTGTATAAATATATCTAAAATAAGTTTAATATTAGTTTGTTGTGACACAATTTCTAATACCTACTCCAAGAGAGCTTTAAATGCATCAGGTTGAACATCAAGTATGGCAATTGGATCTTTTTCAGCTATACCACCAAAAAACATAGCTTCAAACACAGGACTGGCCATTGCCAAAAACAATTTATGTCCTTCCAAAACTTGTTGGTTGGGTTCAGTTCCCACAATAAATCGACAATCACTCCATATTCCTGATTCAAGCAAATATTGTCCTCTTTCCTTAACAATTTTTCTTGTAGTTTGCCAATCACAAAGTTGGGGTTGAGTGCTCATTTTAAATAAATTAATCATTAACTTAAAATAACTTTTTTCTTAAAGCTTTCCACTTTAATTTAAACTATTCTTGTTTTGACAAAAAACAAATTTTGTATACAAAAAGTGCTATTATTTAAAAATAGAAGTTATGAATAACTAATTAGTTATTAAAATTATATTTATAGTAGATACCACAGAACTATACTATACTCTGGTTTATTATTTTTATTTTGACAGTGACAGAAGACGTCTAAATATTTTCCAGGGTTGTCATATTTACTGTTAGATAGAAAATAAAATAAAACTATTCAAAACTCATTCTAAACGACTATTAGGTATCTTACTATTTTAATTTTAAAATTATATAAGATTAAATATTGTAAAAATATTATACTAATAAATTGAATTTTTATTGAATAAATTCATAACCTCAAATTCTATAAATTCAATGTGAGTTGAGATCTGCATCAGATTCTGTTTCACCGAATAAACTTAAAATCACAAATTCTGCTTAAAATTATATTTAAAACTCGCCATTACTCTTTTCAACTAAAATTTGCGAGCAGAATTTACCTATAAAATGCCTCCAAAGAAAGGTTCTAAATCTACAAAAGAAAAAAGTGATGATTCAGGTAATTTTTTGTCTTAAAATTTTATTTTTAGTGAACCCCCATGTATTTAAAAAATATAGCCATATTAATTAATTAATTCTTATCCATTTGCCTAAACTTTTATAAATTTCTAGTTTGTTGTTATTATTGTTATACCTACATAAGTAAACATATTAAATATATTTATGTAGGTATTAACAATATTAGGTTAAAATAATATGGGTAATACTTATAGGCATGGTAAATGACTTATCCGGATTTAAATATAGGAACCGGATTCGGATCTCAGATCTAAGATCCGAGATCCGGATCATAATAATGTATAAGTTATGGGCATACAAAAGAAATAGTATATATACTATATATTATACAGTGTGTATCAGCCAAATGGAATAAATTCGATAATACATAAATGGGGGCATGTTCCTAAAAATGCTCGGACACGTCGATTAGTATTTTTAGTTGCGCACTTTTTTCAACAAAATCTTTTTGTACAGGGTGTCTTATATATCAGTGGCCAATACCAAATTTCAAATTTCAAATGGAACACCCTGTATTTTATTCAATTTTTGGATTCTTCAGAAAATTATAGACATATTTCATGTACAATGTCCTATACCTATCTTCAAGTGTTTCGGAAATATTAAAAAATTAACGTTAAAGAACGATTATTAAAATTATTTGATTACACACTCAATATTTATTTCAAAATTAGAGTTTAATAAGCAAAAACCATTTCAGTGGACCTGATGTGAAATAAAAAAGCTATAAATAGTTTTGTGTTTGAATTTTGTTAACTGCATACCAGAAAAATGGTTCATTTAATTGAAATACACAAAATAACAATTCTACAGATGATTGGTTATGGAGATAGAACACGGACACAAATGGAAGTTGTTCGCTTATTTTAAGAAACATTTCCAAATTTACCTCCTATATTCCAAGGGACAATTAGTAAATTAGAAAAGCAGTTCGCGAGTTTGAGGAAAACCCACATACTTCTATTCGAAAGCAGCCCCAATGTTCGATGTTAGCCATTCATCAATTCTTTGAACTTTAAAAGAAAATAAAATGCATCCCTATAAAATGATACCAACTCAGGAGCTCACGGAAGACGATTTTGATAGGAGAACGTATTTTTGTGAAGAAATGATCGCAATGTTAGATTTTGTATTCTGATGTTAATCAGTTAAGTTAATCGTCAAAATTGCCGCTATTGGTCTAAGAAAAATCCTCACTTGATGAGAGAAGAACATACGCAATATCCTGAGAAGGTTTGGGCAGGAATTGTTAGAGATAATATCATAGGTCCTTTTTTATTGATGGCAATTCAAATGGCAATAATTATTTAGCACTGCTCCAAAATAATATCGTGCCTACTGTAATAAACTTATATCCTGATCCAGCAAACCCACAAGTTCCAGCGAATATGATATGGTTTCAGCAATATGGTGCACCGCCCCCTTATGAAATCAATGTATAGCAGTACCTCAACCAAATATTTCCAAATCGGTGAATAGGGAGAAGAGGATCGATGGAATGACCAGCACGATCCCATGATCTGACGCCATTAGACTTCTTCCTATGGGGATATGTCAAAAGTATTGTATACAAAACCAAACCCCTCGACTTAGCTGACTTAAGAATACGAATAACGCTGGCGATTAGATCGGTTACACCTCAGATGTTGAGTAACGTTAGAAGTAATTTCTATTTAAGATTAGGATGTTGTTCTCGGCGACCATTTTGAACATCTCCTACATTGACAATTGTTCTTTTTTGATGTTTACAATATCAAACAGTATAACTTATTCGTTTTTCAGCGTTGTAGCGATTTTATGTAATTAAATAATTATTAATTATAATTATAATTATGATAATTATCGTTCTTTAATGTTAATTTTTCAATATTTCCAAAACAGTTGAAGATAGGTATAGGACATTGTACATGAAATATGTCTATAATTTTCTGAAGAATCCAGAAATTGAATAAAATATAGGGTGTTCCATTTGAAATTTGAAAGTTGGTATTGGCCACTGATATATGAGACACCCTGTACAAAAAGATTTTGTTGAAAAAAGTGCGCAACTAAAAATACTAATCAACCTGTCCGACCATTTTTAGGAACATGCCCCCATTTATGTATTATCGAATTTATTCCATTTGGCTGATACACACTGTATATATAGTATATATATATATAATTGGTAGCACAAACAAATTTAATTTCTTACTAAGCAGTTGTACAGGGTGTCCGGAAATTAATGCAAGAAAATTTGGTCACAGATTCTCTAGAGAAATTTAGAGGACACGTATTTTTTAGTTTTACCAATTGGCCCCCCTTTTTGGAGATACAGCCCCCTAAAAGTTGCCCAAAAGAATAGTTTTTTCTTATATCTCAGAACCCTGTTGTACGAGAATCACTAAATTTGGTATACAGGGGTTTTTTGATATGTGGAACCTGATAATGTTAAGGCTTTTGGCTGGGGACCCCTTGAGACGCTTTATTGTTGGCCCCCTTGTCTTTGGATCCACAAAACTTTGGTTGCGTATTTGTTTTTTAATTTTAATTTTAACCTGTAAGGAAGTACCTACATTCAATTTGTAAGTGTGGATTCACAATGGACATAACCATAAAAGATACATAATGAAATTATAACCATAAAATTTACATAAAACCCAAAGAGCGTTCACCAGAGATAAAGAAGTTCACAATGACCATAAAAATTGACATGTTGAGCATGTCAAACTAATGTCATTTTTTCGAACATAAACTCATAAAATTCGGATCTAAGATCCGAGATCCGGATATCGGATCTTAGATCCGGACATCGGATATTAGATCCGGATCTCAGATCTGGATCCGATATCCGGATCATAATAATGTATAAGTTATAGGCATACAAAAGAAATAGTATATATAATTGGTAGCACAAACAAATTTAATTTCTTACTATAGTACAACTGCTTATAAGCAGTTGTACAGGGTGTCCGAAAATTAATGCAAGAAAATTTGGTCACAGATTCTCTAGAGAAATTTAGAGGACACGTATTTTTTAGTTTTACCAATTGGCCCCCTTTTTGGAGATACAGCCCCCTAAAAGTCGCCCAAAAGAATAGTCTTTTTCTTATATCTGCAGAACCCTGTTGTAGGAGAATCACTAAATTTGGTATACAGGGGTTTTTTGATATGTGGAACCTGATAATGTTAAGGTTTTTGGCTGGGGACCCCTTGAGACGCTTTATTGTAGGCCCCCTTGTCTTTGGACCCACAAAACTTTGATTGCGTATTTGTTTTTTTAATTTTAACCCGTAAGGAAGTACATTCAATTTGTAAACATAATGTTTTCGAGAAAAATGGCAAAATGTGATCTAGCGCCTTCTTTATCTCTGTCTAGGGCATGGAACAAGTGTATCGTCTAACTCTAGCGTAGATCGCCTTTTAATGAAGAGGAAGATGTCATTCGGAAAAAGCGGCAGATTCAAATGCAAAACGGTAGTTTTTAAAAACTTTATTAAATACTTTATGATTATTGTATTATAAACAAAACAAATATTCTACAGTACAGTACCTATAGGTATTTAATATTCTTAAAAAGAGATCAAATAGCAAATAATAGTCAAAAATAAGAATATTTCGTATCAAAAATAATAATTAATTTGTAAATTATTAACTTTATTTTGCAATGAAGAATTTCCTTATTATGACATCTTAAGTTTGTCTTGGTGAACGTAGTTTTTGTTAAAAGAGAAGCGGCCAAATATTTTTGTATGGAGAAAATAGACTCAGAATTAACTAATAAATGATATTATATATATTATAAATTATATTATTATTATTAATTATAAGCATATTGTTGAGAAAAAACTCTTTTAAGCAGTTGTGTATTCGGATTTCGGATCTTTGCTCCGGCTCTGATTCGGATTGAAAAAGATCCGGATCTGATCCGGATTGAAAAAGATCCGGATCTGATCCGGATTGAAGAAGATCCGGATCTGATGTTTAGAACTACAAAGATCCAGTATTCGGATCTCGGATCCATATTTCGGATCTTTGCTCCGAATCTAAAATCGGAGTATTATATACGGATAGATCCGGAACCGGATTATGCACGTTAAAAAATCCGGATCTGATCCGGATTGAAAAAGGATCCGGATCTAATGTTCAGCACTAACGCAGAGGCCGTTGCTCTCAGGTCTTTAGCGATTGTGGCACAAATTTTGTGGGTGCTGCAGTTCATATTCGTTCGATTTGTTTAAAGAATCGGTTAAACCCGAATCAATTAAATGGGTTTTCAATCCTTCGGCTCCACATTTCGGCGGTTTATGGGAAGCAGGGGTAAAATGCGTGAAAACACATCTGCATCGAGTGGTTGGTGAACAAATTCTAACATACGAGGAGCTATGTAATCTTTTAACTCAGATAGAAGCTGTGTTAAATTTAAGACCAGTTTGCTAACCTAACCTTCAGAACCTTAAGTCATTTGTCCCGCTGGCAGCTCATACAGCGTTTGCTCCAGGATTTCTGGACTCGATGGCATAGGAAATATTTGCACTCTCTAGCAACGGGGTAAATGGTCTACCACGATTGCTGTAGGCTCAGTTGTCTTAATAAAAAATGACCTCTTTCCACGGCTCCGTTGGAATTTAGGCCGCGTTGAAAAGACATATCCTGGTGCTGAGGGTGTATTACGCATTGTTGACGTTCGCACTTCTAAGGGTGTTATTAAACGACCCTTAACCAAGCTTTGTCCATTGCCGAATATGGATATTGCTTAAGAAAATGCATTTTGGTGGGCGGTTATGTTGCGTAATCGCACAATATTTTGTAAGTTTATTTATTTAATTTAGTTTCTCGGGTATTTGTTGGTTATTTTCTCTCGTGTTTGCGCGTGCGGAGTTTGTTGATCGAACATGTGGTAGTTGTAGTAGAGATATTAGATTCAGTCGCGCAAGAATGATACGGTGGTCGCTCTCAAGTTTTTAAACACGTGCCTTATGGGAACTCGCTTGCCAATATTGGTCAAGAAAAAGGGGCCCCGCAATAGAACGATTCTACACTATCGGTAAGTTTGCTTATAAACACGTTTTAAATTCAACAATCTCTCTCAAAGTTCAACGTATCCATGCAAACCAGCCAATTGGCAAACACCAGCCAATTTGAAAATAACAACGGTCCACTTATCAGCTACAAAGTTTTTATTTAAATTAGGTGGCGCTGCAATGGGGTTTAATTTATATTTATATTTGTGTAGCATAGGTGGCGTTGATGTCAAATTATGTGGCATTTGACGTACGCATCAATGCAAATGTGTCTTGACAAACCCGGAATTTGTAGTATTGTCACTAATTGGAGTTCATTACGATTTTGTTATTGTGATCATAACATAGTATTGAACTCTTCCCATTTTAGGAATCCTAAATGGCTGTGTTTAAGTACTAAAAAAATTCAACTGCTTTCATATCTAATCTAACCTTTAGCAAATTAAATTATGCCTTGCATTAAGGATAACATGTTGTACCGTATTTTCATTTGAAATATATATATATATATATATATAAGCGGGTTGCCGTAGGCGACGATTCAGTTATGTTTTGCATTTGCTAGTGTATATTGTACACATTGCAAAGTTGGAATTATTAGTCTTAATTTTAGACTAATAATTGCAACTATTAAAAGAAATAATTGTATTTTATTATAGTAGACCTACAATAAAGTATAGATAATTATCTATCTTTAAAGTATCTATTCAAATAAGAAGATAAACATCTGTCATTTGGTTAATCTGACTTTTTACCAATTTTTAATATCATTAAAGTCGCCTTTTCCAATTAAAAACCTGATTGATCCAAATCACCGTGTATAATAAAGTCGGCCAACCACTGATGTGTTGTTAGGCGGTTATAATGGTTATCAATGTATACGAAAAAAAAAACAATAGTGAGTAAAAGCTACTGTAATTAAATTAAATACTATTATAATAGTTATTATTGCAAACATGTTTATTATGCTTGTAATAATTAGGCTTAAGCTTATAAGCATCATAATTACGGTAGTTTTACTCACAATTTTTGATTGTAACGGACGGTACAAAAATTCCCGAGTAACGTGGAATGGCTGCTGTGCAATAGGAGAAGATAAAGTTTTATTTTTAACTGATTATAATATTTTACATTTAAAGGATCAAAAGAGAAAAAAGGAGGAACGACCGTCAAGGTTAGGCATATTTTGTGTGAAAAACAAAGCAAATGCCTTGAAGCCCTAGAAAAATTAAAAGCTGGGCAAAAATTTCCTGAGGTTGCTGCTACTTACAGTGAAGATAAAGCTAGATCAGGTGGAGACTTAGGATGGATGATTAGGGGATCAATGGTTGGACCTTTTCAGGATGCCGCTTTCTCATTGCCTATTTCTAGTGTAAATAATCCGGTATACACTGATCCTCCTATAAAAACAAAGTTTGGTTATCACATTATCATGGTTGAAGGAAAAAAATAATAGATAATTATTGTTTGGTAATTAATATTACAAGTTGTATTTTATTGTAAACACTTTCAAAATGTATTTTATATGTATTGGTCTTGGACTAATAAAACTATATAGAGTTATTGTAATGATTTTTTAATAAGCATGATTTTACATACACAACAATCCCTCTTTTAGATAATTTTTTATAGGTCTCTATGGGGTATTTGGGTATGGGTCGAGACCCACCGCTCCGTTTATGGTGAGATACCGCTACCTTTACCTCTACCTTTACCGCTGCCTCTACCGTTACCTTTAAAACTATAAATCCGGCTTAATTCATACATTGTTTTCCTATAAGAAACATTCTTGGTTGCATACCTTTGTAAGAATATATCATTATTTTTACGTCTTTAATAAGTTTTTTCAAGAAGAAAAAATACGAAATCCTCACAAAATCCTCACATTTTACCTAACCCTCACAAATTCCCCACAAACGCATAAAATCCTCACAACGTGAGGAAATCCTCACACTTTGGCAACACTGCTTATAAGCATCATAATTACGGTAGTTTTACTCACAATTTTTGATTGTAACGGACGGTACAAAAATTCCCGAGTAACGTGGAATGGCTGCTATGCAATAGGAGAAGATAAAGTTTTATTTTTAACTGATTATAATATTTTATATTTAAAGGATCAAAAGAGAAAAAAGGAGGAACGACCGTCAAGGTTAGGCATATTTTGTGTGAAAAACAAAGCAAATGCCTTGAAGCCCTAGAGAAATTAAAAGCTGGGCAAAAATTTCCTGAGGTTGCTGCTACTTACAGTGAAGATAAAGCTAGATCAGGTGGAGACTTAGGATGGATGATTAGGGGATCAATGGTTGGACCTTTTCAGGATGCCGCTTTCTCATTGCCTATTTCTAGTGTAAATAATCCGGTATACACTGATCCTCCTATAAAAACAAAGTTTGGTTATCACATTATCATGGTTGAAGGAAAAAAATAATAGATAATTATTGTTTGGTAATTAATATTACAAGTTGTATTTTATTGTAAACACTTTCAAAATGTATTTTATATGTATTGGTCTTGGACTAATAAAACTATATAGAGTTATTGTAATGATTTTTTAATAAGCATGATTTTACATACACAACAATCCCTCTTTTAGATAATTTTTTATAGGTCTCTATGGGGTATTTGGGTATGGGTCGAGACCCACCGCTCGCTATACACTGGCGGCGCATACCGGGCGGGGCGGGTCGCCAAAGATATGTTGGTCAGATCTGAGCCGGCTCACTGCAGGAAACCGAAGCTTCGCAAAGCTTAGAACGGCTTGCGGTCTTTACAGTACGTTTTGTGTTCTGTGATTCAGATCTGACCAAAACATCTCGATTTCCTAAGCGCGGCTCGCTCATGACTGTTGTATCATGCGGCTGGCTAGTGCCTATACCGGTCGCATCTTTCGGGATCGAGCTCCGTTCTGTGTTCTGTGGCGCGTTACTACTTTGGCCAAGTTAAAGTGATTTCGGGTGAATAAATAGGTAAGTTTTTGATTTTTTTTATATTTTTAATCAGGTAATAACATTGTTGTTGGTATATTTGAGCCCACTAGAAGCAGAACTCTGTATTTGCACAGAAGACACCTGAGATAAATGCAAATCTGCGTCTTAAAACAGTTTTTAAAACCGTCAAATATTCAGGGTGGGCCAATGGAAAGTTTTCACCTTGATTTTCTCAGGTAAAAAACGCCCAGATCGTGCCATCAAACCACCAGGATTTTTTTCAAAAATCCCCTAAAGCGCGACGTCCTTTATGGACGACCCCTTAGCCAGCCTAAAATGCTGGCTACGGGCCTGCGCCTATAGGTCACCAAAAATGAATAAAATCGTTTTATAGAATCTTTAGGTATTTAGTAATTAAAATTAATTGACTCCCTCGTACATCTGCGTCGATTTGTCATCTAACATGTGAAACTGTTTAACTTGGGGAGAGTAATATTGTAAAAGTACCTAATGAGTTTAATTAATTAACTTAAGTTACATATTCGATTTAGATAAATATTCGACTTAAAAGAATGCCGACTTAAAGGAAGGACTTATAACATAAGTCTTTTAAGAAATGAGTTGTGATATAGGTCCTTAATTAAAATACCAAGAATATTTAAAAAAATTTAATATGCCATAAAATAATTAAATAAATAAATATCATCGTCGCTGTCTAATTTTATCAGTCCACAGCAGATTAAACTAAGTAGCTTTAAACACCAAGTTCTGGGTTGGTGTAACGAACATATTTTAATAAATCTGCATTTTCTTCACACGCCCAAGGTTTGCGGTGATGACAAGCTACGTCATGCCAATTTACTCCGTCATTGTAAAATTGATTGAGGACAGCCAAGCAATTTTCAGTGGCACCTCCTTGTTGAGCTTCAGGTTGTGGTTTCCCAATACCACCGTTCTCGGACCAATCGTTTTGATCTCTTTGAGTGGTTGGAGCCAATTTTTGTAGAACGGCAGTCCAAAACCAACCATTAACATTCAATGGTTGCAAGTCTTCACGGTCGCATCCTTTAAAGTCACAAAGACGTCCAGAAGTCCAAATGTATTTTACCTGAACATAATGAATATTAAATTAGGAATAGCCTTGTATAATCACCAGTGTTTAGCATAGTAATTAAAACTTATTAATATTATCATAAGTTACTTATGAGGTACACAATTATATTTTCGCAATCCTTTTGAATACAAAAGGTTATTGTAAAACAATTATGAGTATGTATTGCTTAATAGATGTGTTATATACTTAGCATATATGCATACCTTTTCGTCAATAAGTCTTTTTTTGATCCACTCATTTTCTGCACTAGTTTCCAAAGATACAAGATCCATACAACGCTTTCTGCAAAAATTTCTTCCACCGAGCCAGTCCTCTTCAACACCTTTAAGAGCGGGGTCCCTCCAACTGAAGAAATACCCCTTACCTATTTAATAAAATATATAGGTAAATACTAAATATTTTCAAAAAATTCTGTTTAATAAAATTGTTACTAATAAAAAATAATAATTAATAAAATTAAATTAATTTAAAGAATGTATCCTTGTTAAAACGTATAGTTTCTATGATACCATAAAATAAATTAATAAAGTAGCATATTTATAAATCAAGGACTATTTTTTGCATTTTTTTTGCTATTCTTTATAGTATGTAACGTGATTCCGGTATTCATGGAATATATATTAATTTCAATAATTTATTATAAGATATTTAAGAATGATTATTTTATTAATAAATAAATACCCAATAAATAAATTAAATTATGATAAAATACATACAATTTTAGAACAACTTGGTTTTGCATAAAAATTACACTTTTTGAAACATCGTTAAGAAACGCAATGATTAAATAGATTTCTTTACGTATACATATTTTAAAGAGGGTGCACTTTAAAAGTGTTCAAATACATGGTAAAACTGTTGGTAAATGTATATAAATGACATATCATGTCTTAGTATATATACTCAAGTATAAATAAATTTGTAAAAATAAATAAATAAACTTACCATCAGGCGTTTTTTCGTGAATAACCCTCTCAGCACACATTTGTGGGACTGGTGGTTCCAAAATTCTTCCATTGGGAAATTGGGCAAGTGCTACGCCGAAAATTGCGGCGAAAATAGCAATGCCTGTCTTCATTTTCTAGATCTATATAGAAGCAGCTATTGTAATTTCTTGTTGCGTTTTGTAACTTACTGTTTAGGGTTTATTGTTGAACTGAAGATGATTAAACAAACTCCTGTTTATATATTAAAGGTGGGGTCGCAGTCAGAGAGAGACAAAAACTACCTTAAGTGTCTTCATTTACCTTGACCTCTCAATTTCAGGCAGTGAGGAATCTCAGGTAATCCAAAAGTGAAAGCACTGATAACAATCGACTAATTACTTAAACCATGCAGTTCCTTTAATAAAAAGTATTGAAAATATTTCTTGTTTTAATACTAAAATAAATTTTTCACCCTTTAGTAGGTATCACGTCATATATATAAATAATTTATTTGTGTCGTACTTTCTCCTTGATATACCTACCTCGATTACTTTTATCCATACAATAAATACGCTATTATTTGCCGTGTAAAGAATTATAAGGTAAATAACCACTTTCTTTGACCTTAGCAAGAGTTTTAAAGCCATAAATTGTTTTTATTGGCAAAACACATAAGTACGTATATATTGACAAATATGGGTTTAGTTGTGATTTCTTTACCCAAATTACAAAGATAAATATAATAAAAGCATTTTTTTATTTAAAAAACTAATGTATTTAGTATCCTTGCTCATGAGTATTACGTAATGGGTAAATTTGTTTTATAATTATAATACAAGTCTGGTATACATACAGGTACGTACGTTTTGATGTGCATTTAAAATTTTAAATTAATTTTGGCATTGACATTAAATATTCATGCAATTAAAGAACTAACAAACAATTTAAATTACCTACCCATTAATAATTTTTATTATGCACATGTTTTAAAATGGGTTACAATAATTCTGCATACCCCTTTAAACAATTAATTTATAAATCAATAAAGTAATAAATCGAAAACTGGATAAAATTTTGATTATTAAATTAATGGGATTTTTGATATATTATATGTAATATTAATAAAATATTTAATGAATATCATTGATTTAAATGTTTTACCTATATGTTACAAATTTTAATATTATAAAAACAAATATTTTTATTTTAAATCGTTTTGCTTGTTATGAAATTAAAAAAATTGTAATAGGTTTCTTCAGTTTACTGAAAAATACATATTAATATACATGTATATGTATATGTATATGTATATTAAAAGAAAGGAAATTAATTGTTTTATCCAAATATATAAAAATATATAGGATGTTCGAAAATTTCCATTTTCCAAGGGGTGTATATATACACCCTTGTTACCAATTTGCTTAGCTAATAAATTATAATAAAATAATAAAAAAATTATGCGTATCTACTAAAATGAGAAATAATAATTATTTTTTAACTTTTAGCATACATTTGAAGAAAATTTGTTTAATCTAAAAATGTACTGCATGAATGTTTAAACAAAAAAATTTTAAATCTATATACATTAGACTGGTTCAAAAAAATCGAATATTTTTTTTTCTTCAAAGCCCGCATTAAAATATCTTCCTAGTAGTAAAAAAAGAAGCCTGTGAAAATTGTAGCTCTTAATATTAATATTTAGAGGTCGCTCATCGTGAATTTCTATTTTACGTTTAAAAAACACAGGAATTCTTTTTTCTTAACTTTGAAATTTTATAACTCGTTTTTGAGTGAACGTATTGAAATGAACTCCATATATTTTTGAAGAAAATTGAACGTTCTACAAAAAATGTCTCTTATAATTTTTTCGTAAATTCACTCCTTCACTCCTAGTTATTCAAGGTTGAAATTATTCCAATATGTCCACTCAAAAAAAAAGTTATAAAATTAAAAGTTAAAAAAAATTCCTGTGTTATTTAAACTTTACATTTATTATATGTCTAATTTCAACCTTGAATAACTATTAAAGGAGTGAATTTACGAAAAAATTATAAGAGACATTTTTTGTAGAACGTTCAATTTTCTTCAAAAATATATAGAGTTCATTCCAATATGTTCACTCAAAAACGAGTTATAAAATTTCAAAGTTAAGAAAAAAGAATTCCTGTGTTATTTAAACGTAAAATGGAAATTCACGATGAGCGACCTCTAAATATTAATATTAAGAGCTACAATTTTCACAGGCTTCTTTTTTCACTACAAGGAAGATATTTCAATGCGGGCTTTGAAGAAAAAAAAATATTCGATTTTTTGAACCAGTCTAATATACATATGTACCTACCTACTAGACTGGGCCAAAAAAATCGACTATTTTTTTTTTAAAGTATATCGAAAATATGGTTTGGGGTGACAAAAAAAAATTATTGTGAAAGTTTGAGTCCATAATATTAATATTAAGAGGTCTATCATCGCAATTTTAAATTTTTTTTCCTCAGCAAGTTTTTGTCTCAGAACTCCCATACTATTGAGTTTAACAAAATTGACTCAGAAATATTTTTTTAAGAAAATTAAATGCAATTCATGTAAAAATCAGTACCCGGAAAAAAACCAATAAATATTCTTATGGGAAATCAAATGCTGTACAAAAAGAGTCTTTTATCATTTTTGGCTAAATTCACTCCATCAAAAGTTATTCAAGGTTAAATTTGAAGTCAAAACGAAATTTTAACCTTGAATAACTTTTGATTGAGTGAATTTAGCCAAAAATGTTGAGAGGCTTTTTTTGTAAAGCATTTGATTTCCCATAAGAATATTTATCGGTACTGATTTTTACATGAATTACAAAATTCCAATTTAAAAGATCAAAATGTAAAACTATACCAATTTTTAAGGCATGATTTTAAGGAAACGGTTTATCTGACAGGAAATTTCACTTTAATCTTTTTTGTAGAGCATTTAATTTTCTTAAAAAAATATTTTCGATTCAATTTTGTTAAACTCAATGGTTTGGGAGTTCTAAGACAAAAACTTGCTGAGGAAAAAAAATTAAAATTGCGATGATAGACCTCTTAATATTAATATTATGGACTCAAACTTTCACAATAATTTTTTTTGTCACCCCAAACCATATTTTCGATATATTTTTCAAAAAAAAATAGTCGATTTTTTTGGCCCAGTCTAATATATACATATATATAAGTATATACCGGGTGTATCTGAGAATAGGCGCACCCCTGTAACTTTTTTATTTATAAAGATAGACACATGAAATTTAGCATGGTTAATTAGGATATAAAATGCCACTTATAAGAGTACAAAATGAATTTTTTGAACTTCCGGTTTCGCCGGAAATAATATCAACTTTCGATTTTTAAATGGAACGTCCTATATATTTTTACATATTTAGAATCCTGAGAAAATTCTGAGTCGGACAGCATCCTCAAATTGACCTTTCGACGTTTGGTCATCAGAAATTGCATCATCATAAAGATCAATCTAGAGTGCTTTTAACTATTCGAGAAAAAAGAATTTTGACAAGTTTAGACTGCTGGGAATAGCTGAATAACAACTTTCTAAGGCAAGTTCCATTTTTCAGGCATTGTTTGAATCCATTAGAAGAAAATAAGATAGTTCAAAGCAATCTAGATTGATCTTTATGATGATACATTTTCTGATGACGAAACGTCAAAAGGTCAATTTGAGGATGCTGTCTGAACTTTCTTAGGATTCCAAATATGTAAAAATATACATATAGGGCATTCCATTTAAAAATTGAAAGTTGGTATCATTTCCGGCAAAACCGGAAGTTCAAAAAATTCATTTTGTACTCTTCTAAGTGGCATTTTATATCCAAATTAACCATGCTAAATTTCATGTGTCTATCTTTATAAATATAAAAGTTATAGGGGTGCGCCTATTCTCAGATACACCCGGTATATATTAGGGTGCCCAAAAAAAAATAATATTTTTTTTCTCTTCTCTTGTGAAAATATGTTGGTTTGTCATGTTTTAAGAGCCCTGTCAAAAGATCAGCTCCATTAAAAAAATGTTAGGGGTCGCTCAAGATTTTTAAAAATTTCCAAAATCGTCAAAAATTGTATTTTTTTTTATTTTAATTTTTTTTCTCGTTCCGATATTATTTTTTAATTTGAAAATAATAATGATTCTGAAAATTTCAAATCGATATTTTGATTTCTAAAGGTCGAAGGTCGCTCAAGATTTTGTTAACTATCAAAGTAGAGTATTTTAAATGTTTTCGAGCGACCTCTGAATATAAATATCAACGAACTTTTAGCGACCTTTAGAAATCAAAGTTTTGATTTGAAATTTAAAGAATTTTTATTATTTTAAACCAAAAAAATAATATCGAGACGAGAAAAAAAAATTAAAATAAAACAAAAATTCAATTTTTGACGATTTTGAAAATTTTAAAAAATCTTGAGCGACCCCTAAAATTTTTTTACAGCATGAGAAACTAACATATTTTTACAAGAGACGAGAAAAAAAATATTCTTTTTTTGGGCCACCCTAATATATAAATACATACCTATACAGGGTGTTCCAACGAAAACTTGTACCCCCCCAAACGTTTTATCGGATGAGTGTGGACAAAATTCCTTGGACACGTCAATTTTTATTTTTAGAGGGACGAATTTTGATGTATGTTTCACGCCCCCACCCGCACCCCTACACGCTCCACCCCGCCCGCCCCCTAAATTTTAAATTGTAAGGGGGGTTGAGTGATATATCATTTTAAAGGTCTTTTAATTCTTAATAAGGTTCTGTAATTTTTTTAAAATCTGTTTGTTAGTTTTGGAGAAATTGCTATTTGAAGTTTTAAATTTGATGAATAAAAAAAAACAAAATTGTAAATTAAAGAATAGGTTCAAAGTACATGCATGCATGACATTTTTTTATGAGGTTGCCGTGGTAATGCGCGCACGCGCCACACGGATTTATTTAAATGCAGTTATCAAGAATAATTAGTAAATGCCTATTGCTCTGTTCTATAAGTCGTTATCAGTTTAGCTTTCTGAACCTTTTAGTTTAACATTGTGAACCTTACAACGTATTCTCAAAATGGTATACTCCATTGAAGAAAGAACTGAAATTATTGCAACCTATTATCGAAATAATGATCGTGCAAACGCCTCGGCACGAATTTTTAATAATAATCATCCCGAAAAAAACGTAAGTTACCAATACGTTCAACAATTAGTAGCTAAGTTTCAAACTACGGGTTCCATCCACAACAAAAA